GTAAGCCTGGGCAAGGGATCTCCAATTCAAGAATCATGCTTTGCTCACAATTAAACTCTTCAAAATATAATTTGTCTAAATTTTTTTCTCTTATCAAAACAATTCTAGAAGCCAACTACAGGCTATATCCTAGACCCAGAAATTTTGAACTGGATAAGGGAGGATGACAGAGAATACCACCATAAAGACATAGAAAAGGGGATCACAGGGCCAGGTCGAAGTCTCCTAGGGATTTTTTAAAACACATGTTGTTACAATCCAGTGATGTTAAAAACCAACACTCAAGGAGAATATGGAGAATTTCTGTTTTAGTGGACATTATTACTAATGGAAGTAGATCAATTCCTCCAAGTAGATAAAATGCAAAGACAAATTGTGAATTATTAGTACAGTTCATAAACACCTAGAAATTTAAAAAGTAATCATGAACATACACGTGCACAATATGGCCTTAGTAAAATGGAAACTGATCAAACCTCTCATTTCCTTTTCTGACTGTATTAAAAGACTGTTAAATCAGGAAGGTGAGTAAACAAGGATGAGGATTTTTTTTTCTTTTTCCTGAGAATAAGAGAGGGAGCTGTGGTCAAATTATCAAGCAATTTTAAGGGTCCAACTAATGTTGAAAGTTAGGCATGTCTCTAATCTGTATGTTTTTGGTAATGTTCTTCTAAGTCTGTAGAGCATGAATGTCAGGTCAAAAAATGTGCTTTTCATGTTGGCTGTCTGCCTCCTGTGCCTGGGAGAAAGATGCAGGGGGAAAAAACATCGAAGGTGCTGGTAAAGGATTAAAGTGATGATCTAGTGAATGGAACCTGGTTGACTAGAAAAAGAAAGGAGGTGAGAAGGAGACTGATGAACTGAGATGGGAAGAAATGCAGACAAGCAACCCTGAATCTTATTGAATTGAAGAGCTGGTATGGTAGAAATCAAGACATGGATGATCACAGTTTTTCATAAAAGCTTCCTGTAAAGGAATTTGATGTTTCTGATCATTACTAGTTGTGGGCCCACCCAAGAAGTTCATCCTTCAGTCTTTCAGAGATAAAAGAAGACAGACAAAATGTTTATTAAATTACCCCCCTGAAAGTCAAAGCCTTTCTTCCTTAGAACTTTTAAAGCTGAATTGGTATTGAAACATATGGGACATGATCTGGTCAACTTAGTATCTCATGCTTTTAATTTTCATTTGGTATTTTTAAATACCTCTCCATGAAAGAGCAAACCAAATTGTCTTTTTTTTTTCCCCCTCACCAATATAATTAAAAGAGACAGGCTGAAAAAGACCTACAGATGGGTCATGCTGGGCCTTGCCAAAGCATGAGATCTGGATATGAAGTAAATCTCATTAACTGCCACAATTGATGGCCTCAGCAGAGAGTAAGGCTTATAATTAAAAGTTCTGAAGTGCTTACAGTGCCACTGCAGAGATTATAAAATAGAATTGGGTTTATTAGTACACATTTGGGCAGAGGGTTTTTTTGAAGTTGGGCTATTTCTAACTTCACATGGATAGGCAGGCCCCTCTCGATAGTTCCATTATGTTTAGTGTTCCATGAAATGTCATCAATGCCTTTGATATTCTATCCATTTCCTTAATTATAAACACATATTTTTTTCTCTATTGCAAGTTTCCTTCTTAACTTCACAGAACTTCCAGTGGAAGAGAAAATTTGGATACCACACTTGGAAATAACAAAAGTGGCATATGAACTTAGATTAACTAGCATTAGTTAATTAACTAGTACTGTTCCCTTAAAGAACTGTTAGATTCATTCAGATAATTACCTTTTGATGAATGGGCTTTTACTAGTATAACTCCATGCTTTCTATGGAGATACAAATGAGAACTGGAAAAGACATCTGCAAACATCTGGCTGGCCCCTTCCAAAGCAATAACACTGCAGTTTATTTCTTGACACACTGTGCAGACTCTTCCAGTCATTCTGAGTCTTATATATTAAAAGTTTTCAAGAGAACATACTAGTTTGATATTTATATATTATTTCCTCCCCCCCAAAAAATCAATTAACTGTATATATACATTTTCATTTCTAATCACTTATCTGATTATTTGTTTAAATATTGTTGCTCACAAGGTTAGTACCTCAAGAAACGAAGCAAATATCTATTTCTGTAATCCCCATGAAAGAGCTAAATGTATGTTCTGGGTCTCTGTCCTCTAGAAACAGAAGTAACAATAGGTGAGCAGCTTCAAATTAGAATGGTTATTGCAATATTTTTTTCAAGCAATGGCAAACTAACACTAACCCAAATGTCCATCAACTGGGTGAATAATGGACAAAGTTATGGTAAATCAATAGTACAGAATATCCAGTTAGCTTAAAAAAAAATTGAGTGGAACTATGTCAATCTACCTGGAGGTGTGCCCATGATATATTGCCAAATGAGAAAAGCAACTAAAGTATAGCGTATAATTTCCAATTGTAAAAATAAGCAGTGACACCCTGTGCACAATGCATGAGTTTATAGTTGTGGAGGAACATTCATGAAACTATAATGGGGTATCTCCGGGATGATGAGGAGGTCAAGGAGAGATAGTGTGGGAAGAGATAAATAGTGCTAGCAAAATACAAAAATAGTCATGCCACAATGCTAAGGGAAAATGCAGAATGTTTTTAGCAATTTTTTTTTAAAAAAAGAAAAGTTCACCTTCATCACTGGTTGATGTCAGGCCTGATTCTTAAGACCTTACAAAGACATCTCACTTCGTGGCCACATCAACCCTGTGAGGTGGGGACTGTAAAGTTCTCCGTTTCACTGAAGAGGCGATAGTTGCCCAGAGAAGATAATGAATTATCTCATGGTTATGCAATGAGTGACAAAGCTTAGCAAAAATAATATTAGACCAACAGACAAAGGAAAAAAAAGTTGTAAAATTGCCTTTTTTATTTCCTAGAATAAACCACACCAAGTAAAAATGATCAATTAGGTACAGAACTGTGGATTATTTTTCTCTTCCACCTTTGCTATTATTTAACATTATTTTGAAACAAAGTAAAGTTATTTAAAATAAATAGAACAGGGCTGGGGTTGTGGCTCAATAGTAGAGAGCTCGCCTAGCATGTGCGAGGCCCTGGGTTCGATCCTCAGCACCACATACAAATACAACAGAGATATAAAAAATAAATAAACAGAATAAAATGGGTGGTTTGGGTGATTTAGTAGTTTTTAAAACCTGTTCTTGAGTTCTTTGACACTCCTCACTCCCTTTGAATTTGGTGGGGCTTGGGATAATTCTAACAAAACACATAGCAATACTAATGTGATGTGTCTTTGGAAGCTGAGTTTTAAAAGGTGACACAGCTCTTCCTGGCTCACTTTTTGTGAAGCTGGCTCTGGAGGATGCCAGTCACCATGATGTGAGCCCATATGGAGAAGAGCTGAGGTCCTAGTCAAGACAGTTTCCACTGCCAGACTTCAGAAGTTCAGCTCCAGCCTTAGAACCTTCCAGCTGAGGCCCCAGATGTTGCTGAAAAGTGATAAATTGCACCCACTATTTTCTGCCTGAATATCTGACCCCGAGAATCTTCTGTGAGCAAAATAAATGTTTGGGTGATTGTTGTTGTTGTTGTCATTATTTTGTCTTTTGTTTAGGGTTTTGGATTTTTTTTTTTCTGTTTCTAAATTACACAGCAACATTTAGCTGGGACAGATGGGGACCTTTTTCAGTGATGTTTGTCAGGTGGAGGGAGGCTTCCCTTTGGTTCTAGTCTTGTCCCTATAGAGATACAGTGATAGCTAACTTTATGAATCAATTTGGCTGGACCTGGTGCCTCAATATTTGGTCAAATATTATTCTGGATGTTTCTGTGAAGATGTTTTTGAGTGAGATTAGTGTTTAAAATAGTAGGCTTTGAGTAAAGTAGATTACCTTCTATGATATGGGTGGGCCATATCACTAATCAACTGGAGAACACTGATCACCCGTAAGCAAGAAAGAATTTGCCAGCAGCCAACTGCCCCTAGACATCTGTTACAACTCTTACCTGCGTCTCCAGCCTGTTCTCAATCACATAATAGATTCACCTAGTCCCCACAATTACATGAGCCAATTCCTTAAAATCAGCCATTCTCTTTCTCCATCTCTTCCTCCCTCTATGTCTCCCCTCCCACCCACTCCCTCCCTCCCTCTCTCCCTCCCTCTCCCTCTCCCTCTCCCCCCCCTTAACTTTCTCTCTCTCCCCCCTCCCAACTTTCTCTCTCTCTCCACACACACACACACACACACACACACATACACAGAGAGAGAGAGAGAGAGAGAGAGAGAGAGAGAGACAGAGACAGAGACAGAAACAGAGAGACAGAGAGAGTCCTTCATATCTTCAGGTATCACCTTGGTGAACTTGGAAAATATCTGGAAAAAAATTATCTGTATTGAACGTGTCTAGATGTTTTTCTTGTCATTGTTCCCCAAACAATTCATGTCATATTTTGGATGTGAGATGTCCCCCCAAGGCTCATATGTGACAATGCACGAAAGTTTAAAGGAGATATGATTGGCTTAATCCAATCAGCAAATCAGTCCCCTGAAGGGATTAATTGGGTGGTGGCTGAAGGCAGGTAGGGTGTGGCTGGAGGAGGGGGGTTATTGCCTTTGGGGTATGTATTTTGTATTTCTCAGTGGAGTCTCTCTCTCTGCTTCCAGATCATTTTGTGATCCACTTCCCTCTACCACACTCTTCTGCCTGAATGTTCTGCCTCACCTTGAGACATTATTTGTATTTGCTGTATTTGGATTGAGACCTCTGAAACCTTGAGCCCCCAAATTAACTTTTTGTCCTCTGTCTACAATTGTTTTAGTCAGATCTTTTACTCACAGCAGCAAAAAAAAAAAAAAAAAAAAAAAAAAAAGCTGACTACAACAACTCAGTATAGCAACAATTTACAAAGCATTTAGATTATAATTAGTTGTTACAAAAATGATCAGACCCAGGCAGAGTAAAAATAAAAGAAAATAAAACAAAAGTGTAGCTTACCCCTCTAAACAGTGGGCAACTGTCAGAACCCACTTCCTGGCAATGAGAACACAGCCACAGATGTGTCCACTGGGTTCACTCTGCAGAGAGCACTGCCACGGCCACCTTCCAGGGCGACTTGTCCGACCCCCAAGGATCCTCTTGTTCAAGCGGGCAGCAGGCCGGCGCCCACAGTCTATCAAAGAGCAGAAGACAGTTTGTGACTCGAAACCCAGACAAATCTTAGGTCTTCAGTGTCACATGCAAGCGGTCATTTTTCCCTTGAACCAATTGAGGTAAACTAAATTCATATCCTACTGCTGGGCCACCAATTCACTCACCTTGTTTAGTACAGAGAAGAGAGATCTTTCTTCTGCTTGGACAAGACTGCCTACATTGGGGAACATAAAATGGTATAATATTAAGTTACATACTTATTATTCACTCCAAATGTTTTACCAGGGAAAGACAAGATTTGAGCAATAAATATCTTTAGTGTAGGAATTCTCAAGGCAGGGAAGGTTGGACATCAACTTGAGGGAAGGGGTATAAGGAGATTGTGTATTTTATTCACTTCAGTTTGTTCCTATTTTTCATAATATAATTTCACCTCCTGGGAAGAGAAACTACTGGAAAAAGTTTCCCACATGATCTTGACTGTACCATGCACAATGTTGATTTTAACCATGTTTTCTAATGTAGGTAAGGGGCAGGGAGAATAAGACTGATTGCCCAGAATTTGTGTGGAGGGAGGGGTAAGTCAGATGTTTATAGTTATGGAGAGGATATGTTCTCCCCAAAAGTTGAGTCTGAGAGGAATAAAATATTACTTCAAAATTTAAAGAACAGATAAAGGAACAGAATATTTAGACTGGAAAAAATCTTAAGATTGTCAAAGTTAAATATTTTTTTTAGTTCTTGTTAGTTATACATGACAGTAGAATCCATTTTGATAAAATTATACAAGCATGGAATATATCTTATTCTGATTCTTGTGGGTGTACACAATGGTGAGATTCACTTAGGTATTTTCACATATATATACATAGGAAAATTATGTCACATTCATTCTACTGTCTTTCCTATTTCTATCACTCCTCCCTTCCCTTCATTCCCCTTTGTCTAATCTATTGAATTTATATTCTTCCTCTCCCTGCCCCCTTTATCATGGTTTACCTTCTATATACCAGTGAAAATATTCAACCCTTGGCTTGGGGGGATTCATTTATTATTAAATTTTGGATACATGAAGAATTGCCACGAGAAATGGAAATTTATTCCGTATAACTCCACATGGCATGATCAGAACCTGTGAGTAGAACTGATCGGATATGTGAGCTCAGGAAGGGAGAAGAACTTTCTAAAAATCCCATTTAAACTTTAAAGGCAAAAACATGGACTGTGTTTCAGAATCTCTCAGTGTGGTGCACAGAAGAATTCAGTCTCGGGTAGGTAAAATTTTGATCACCAAGTTCTCTTCCCACCATGAAACATTTATTCACAATGTAAATTAAAAATAAAATACAGATACTTTAAGATTCCCCCAAACTGTGATGTGCTAGGAATCTTAGATTCCCGCATTAAACAAAGATTCATTCTTATTTTGTCATTTCCACATTCACTTTCAAGATTTCCTGTATTTTTCATGTTTTGCTAAATTTACATGGGGGGGCACATGTAATTATTGATAATTATATAATATAGGAAACATTTGTTTTCTACCTTCCAACAATCTAAAATTCTCTCTCCTTGTTCTCTACCTTTGTATCCTTAACTTGTAGTACTCCCTAATATCTGAAATTATTTATGTGCACCATCTTACAATCACTCCACCCACCCAAATTACACATGTTCCTTGAGATCAGAGTCTTGTATTTTGTCATTCACTTCAACATCCCCTTAAAGCCTAGAACTGAACCCAGTGTAGAAGAGATACTCAATAATTAGCTGTTATTTTTTAGATTAAAAATTTATAGCTTTTAGATATAGGAAAAGTTATCAAAGAATCTCCATTTTAACTCCTTACAGCAATTGTGGTTGTATAAGATACCACATTTAGTAAGCCAGAACTAATTATGTCCACAAACTCTCAATTTAGTACAAGTTATTTATTTATTCATTTATTTGACCTAAGAGGCCTTTTCTGGAATTCTGAGTCTACAGAAATACCACTCTCTTGAAAGATTCAGGTCATTGTTTTGGAGAAAATGCTTCATTTGACAAATATTCAAAAATATGGGTTACAGAATTTGGTTTGTGTAGAAAATATTAGGTTATGCCAAGGGGAAATAGGCTTTTGTTTTCTTTTCTGAAATTTTAAGAGAAGTGATTTCCCTAGCACTTATTATAAGCTTTGGAGTCAGAAAAACAATTTAAATTCAGAAAATATCACTATCTGTGGGCTGTGAGCTTTCACAAGTTATGTGAACATTCTAAACCCCAGTTTCCTCATTTGTGAAAATTGGAAAATTATCACTTGTTGATAAATCTCGTGGGAGGATTAAATGAGAAATGTATGTAAGACTACCTAGAAGAATACCTATAATGTAAGAGAAAATTTCCTCAATTTATCTTCCTCTACATCCCACCCATAGACAAGGGAGATAGTTCTCTTTATAAGATGTCATTATTTCTGGTATGAGAGAGAGACTTAAGTGCATTTTCAAGGCTCCATGATTAAAACTTCATTTTATGTCTATTCTTTTCTCAGACTCTCCAGGTTTTTAGCTAATATTACTTCAATTTTCTCTGCTGATTAATTTCATGTGGCATTAGTAGGGAATGAAGACATGACAGTTTATTTTCAATAGGATATGAAAACAACTGTAAGTTTAGAACTCAAGTTCCCTATTTTCACAATGATAGTTTCTATCATTGGGATTTAAAAAAAGATGTAATTAGCCCAAAATAAAAAATAAATCTATGTCTAGAAAGAAGAAATAAAATCAAATGATGTTGAAATGTAAAGGCTAATAGCCATTCTATGAAGACTCTTTATTGATGTGACAAATTTGGATTACCTGAAATTAAAAATGGAAAGAGGCCCTGATGATAAACTATTACTCCATAATCTGACCACACATACCTCTTATGAAAGAGCTCTCACCTGTGGACCAGCAGTTCATGCAAAGTGGTTCCATTGAGGCTCGTCCAGTTGGACTGTACCATCAGCCACTGCTGGTCTTGTTCCTGTTCTTGTATCAATTCAGTCACAGATGGTTCTCTGGTATAGAGAAAATTCCAGATAAATATCCAAAGTACAGTGATTTTTTAAACATGTATTACTGATAATTTGCACTTCTTTTTCATAAAGAAGCATTACTTGTAAATCAATATTTTAAGAGGAGAATTTGGATTAAGAGAGATTTGGCATGGAACATGATTAGCTAGTAGGGAAGTTACGAAAAATATTCTAGAGGTAATAAAAAATCCATACTACTACAGCTATTTTAATCATTCTCTCTGTTGACATGCATTTGAACATCATGAGGTGTTAGAATTCTAATTATATAGGTAAAACTTTCAACATCTAAAAAATAAGAGTCACTAAGCAGGAATAAAAATAAAATAAAATTTTTCTAGCTGGTTTGATTCTTCTCCTCTTTTCTTGTCCATTAAAATCCTGCAATATAGCTACACCACAATATAAAATAAATAACAGACAATGGCCATTTGTTATCTATTTAGGAAGAACAAAAATTGTAAGTGGCATTTTTTTCAACATATTGCAAAATTTTTATGCACTAAAGTTTATTAAGGATTCTGGAAAGTAAAGATGGGTATAAGACAATATTATTTTACTTTGCCTGCATTCTTATTCACTCTCCACCAAGACTTTCTTTGGATGTCATTCCATCACTCAAATAAATCTGGTTATACTGTATTAAAATTTTAAAAATCTTAGATATCAGAACTATTTAGTTTTTATATAAAATACCCTATTCTTCTTAAAAGATTTTTCTCTTAGGCAATTTATATTTAGAGAAAAGCTTCTGACCTGGCGTGGTAGCACATGCCTATAATCCCAGCAGCTTGAGAAACTGAGGCAGTGGGATCACAAGTTTGAGGTCAGCCTCAGAAATGTAGTGGGGCCCTGTCTCAAAATTAAAAAATAAAAAGAGCTGGGGATGTAGCTCAGTGGTTTAGTGCTCCCAGATTAAATCCCAGGTTAAAAAAAAAAAGCTTCTGAATTTTTAATTTAAATAAAAAATAGTCACCTAATGCTATCAAAGGTAGCAACCATAGAGAACAGTACATCTAGTGAATTCAAAGTAGGTAGCCTCTACTTTTCCGTTCAAAAAGAAAGGGAGCTCCTTTAATGAAAATTGGAGGTGACAGGGGTGCATGACAATGCATTAAGTGATGTGCATGTGGAATGACTGGTAGAAGTGTTCAGAGAAATAAATCAAAGGTAATCTAGAGCAATGTCAAGCATCACAGAAGGTCCAGATGAAAATGGAAATGGTGAAGTTCCACTAGCACCAAATTCACATGCTTAGTGACTTTCCTTAGGTTTTTTTTTTTTTTTTTTTTTTTTTTTTTGTAACAATTAGGTTTTTTTTTTTTTCAAAGTAGGGGTGTAGTGTAAGGGAAAAAGAATTAGATTCAGTGGCATTGGGAGAAAAATGATTATTTCACCTGATGTTAATTATTTCTTAAAATACTGTAATAACTTAATAGAAAAATGAAAGGGAAAAAACCTCCCCCAAACTGTGTTATCTTTAAAAAGATAAGGAAATCCCTCTAAAGAAAACACTTGATGGTAGGATAAGAGCCCTGTGTTGATGCAGAATCAATCAGAGGCAAAATAATTAGGTTATGATGCCTGTAACATTATCAGTCCATCCTAATTTAAAAGGACTACTGTGTTGGGTGGTAACTCTGGGCTAGCTGGTGAGGTATGGCTGGAGGAGGTAGATTGCTAAAGGCATACCGTTGGGGATTGTGCCTTGTCCCCCTGTCTCCCCCATCTCTGTTTCAATTGCTGCTGTGAATGGAGCTGCGTGCCTCCACCATGCCCTTCTACCATGATATGCTGCCACACCTTGGACCCAGAGCAATGAACTTGGCTAACCATGGACTAAATTTCTAAAACCATCAGCCAAAATAATTTTCCTTCCTCTAAGTTGTTCTTGGCAGGTATTTTGGCCATAGTGATGAAAAAGCTGGCTAACACAACAACCTTTTTTATGTATTTTTTGTCTTTTTGATAATTATCATTGGTACAGGTATGATGTGATATCTCATTATAATTTTAATTGCATTTCCCTGATGGTTAGTGAAATTGAGTAGCTTTTCTTATAACTGTTAGTCATTTCTATATTTTCTTTTGAGAAATATCTATTCAGATCCTACATGTGCATTGATAGTAGATTGGTTAATGAATACTATGGAGTTTCAAAAGAACATAGCAGGAGGGCCATGCAGTGTTCATAGTGTAAGGAGTGTTACTCTGGCACCAGACCATAGGTATACAATTGTCAGCTCTGCCATTTGCTTACTGGGTGATAATGGGCAAGTTACTTATTCTGTTATTGCTTCAATATTTTTTCATCTCCAAAATGGGGAGTAATAATAAAGCCACAGAGTTGTTCAGAAGATTAAATAAGAAAAAAAGTCTGTCGTTTAGTAAGCAGGTCAACGACACATAGAACAATGTGAAAAAAAACTTTTAAAAAATAGGGTTATATATGCAGGAATTATAGAAAAAGTTTGGCAAGGATGCCCAAATGCTATTTACACATCTGAAATGGGAGGAATGCAGTTTTTCATTACATAATTTGTGCTATTTTTCTGTGTATTCTCAAATATTGTATAATTTTGAAAATTATTAAGAAAAAATACTCAGACCTCTAATGAGGAACTCAGACTATATAAAGAACTCAAACATTCAATCACAAAAAAATCAAATCACCTGATTAAAAAAAATGAAATTGCCTCAAAATTGCTTCTGAGGATCTGTGTGGTCAAGAGACACATAAAAATGTATAATTTTCCCCTCACTGAAATGAGAGGATGCAATTTATCCAGAATTCTGAAACATCCTAAAATTATAAAAGGAATTAACTATTTTGATACTGAGGAAAGCAATTAGATCACTTGACAATTAAAATTATTCTTGCTCTACTCTCCTCAGGTCACCTGGTGTTTAATAATATCCCATGCTTGTGTTATAGTTAAGCTGACTTACTTTTAAAATGTGGATCACCAGAAATCTCCCAAGTCAAGCACTCCTTTCCCTTCAACATCAAGAGTGCATGACATGTGACACATCAGTTGAAGGACAAGTTCTGTTCTTTTGTGTATATTGCTGGGAAAACCCTCAGTATTCAACTTAGCACTTGGCAGTGGTCTTGAAATACAAAAGCCTTATACAGTGGACAAGATAAGTTATTTGTAATTCTAAATACTCTTTTCAGAACTTAGAACATTTTCAGTAACCATCTAGTATCTTGTTTCCAAAGTTGTGTCTCTGAATTCTGCCATTTTATTATCCCTATTTGATTCCTATAGACTAGATAGATACATTAATATTGAAGGCTAATGAGTTACTTTCAAATAAAAGAATAAGCTAGAAATTTTGACCAGAAAAAAAAGGCAATAGTAGGTTTTAGACAGAACATGAATGAGCACTACTATTGAATCATTTGTCTGGTTAGACAGCTTAGTTCATGCTTAATGTGGCAAAACTCACATCAATAGAGATGTTTAAAGCAGATCATAAAGACTGTATTTTTCTAGGAGTTTTGTAGTTTTAAGAATACACCACTATTGCAATCTTAATTGAAAATACACAATTTTCTTCTCTTATAATCCATTTGTCTGCCTCATAGGTGGTGTCTAATAATTACACTAGGCAAAAATCTATAAATATGTGACAAAAACTATTTAAAGCAAAGAGAAGATAGTCATTGAATTATAATATTAAGTCATGGTGTTCACATTTCATATCACAAATTAATGAAATTAAGTACTTAATTCATTTCCAATGTAAAAATTCCAAAATTATAACATGAAGTAAAATACAAATTTATAAAATATAGTTATAAATCTATATTATCATTCTAATATAAATTAGAAAATTAAATTAACTATTTAAAGCAACATTTTGTTAAAGTGTAAAATATTAATTAATCTTAAACATTAAAATATCAAAATAAAAATATTAATTAATCTTAAACATTAAAATATCACTTGATTATAAGATTCAGTCATACAAGTAAACTGAGCAAATGGTATCAAGTGATAGTTTTTAAATAAATATATTCTCCTTTCTTTTGGCTATTTCATTTTTGAAAAGTTCCCTTTCTTTTTGATGACTCAGAATAGACATTTTGGAACAATTGCTTCTATTATTTTTAAGAAACAGGGACTCAATATTTCATTGACAGCAACTTGGATTTGATTTCAAAGAAAATGCTTCTTATCTATCTTCCCTTAGTTTGATTCATAATGTAAAGTTTGAGATCACAAGTTTCATTTTCAATATGCCAGTTTAATTACACTTGTTCAGGAAGACTACAAACCAGAGTAGAATTTATTTTTCTAATAGAAACTTTCCAACAATTTCCTCATTCTTCCTCTTCTTTGAACGATAAAAGCATAGAAAATGCTTTCTAAAAATATATACACCTATTTGATTCAAAATTTTAAAACAACATATGGCTCTAGGTTCATTATAAGATAAATACTCAAACTTTAGGGTTTTTAAAATGAACATTTCATATCCATAAGAGCACTGGAATATGCGTGTCAAAAAGTAGAAATGTTGCCAGGTGTGGTGGCACCTGCATGTAATCCCAGGGGCTTGGGAGGCTGAGGCAGGAGAATCTGGAGTTCAAAGCCAGCCTCAGCAACTTAGTGAGACCCTAAGCAATTCAGCAAGACCCTGTCTCTAAATAAAATATAAAAATTGACAGGGGATGTGGCTCAGTAGTTAAATGCCTCTGAGTTAAATCTCTGGTACCATTAATATATATATATATAATCAACACTAGTGGGATGTGTTTGGCCTTTGGAAAGACTGATGCCAGGGGACCAAGTATCTTCAGGACTCTCCATCTCTCATCTTCACTTCCTTCTGAAGCAAGGAGGGAGGGAAGATAACACAGTGGTTTTATTGTCTCCCAGTGACTTTTCTGTAAACCAAGGGGCTGGCTGTCTTCAGAAACAAACTCACATCCGTTCATCTTTGTGACCAAAAAGGAAATAAGTCCTCTCTTC